CTGGAAAACATTTAAATGGTGCTGAATTCTACGCCTTTGCTAAATAATTAATCCTTATACCAATCCATTACTCTGTTAGTCCCCATCTGTACCTCCACCCATCATACATACATTATAAATTAATAAATAGGTCCATATGTCTGCCATCCACCATTGTACACTTTACAGCCATTTGTATTACTTTTTAAACTGTATTCCGGAAACTTGTGTTAAAAATAAAAATTTTTTGTTTCTCTGTTTCTCGTAAAGGACTCCTGTCAAAAGCCTGCATGCTACGAGAAAACAGTCACACTAACCAAGGAGCCATACGACTCGCTGGGTATGACAGTGGCTGGCGGCATGTCTAGCAGGGGATGGGACCTTCCCATCTATGTCACAAATGTGGACCCGGATGGAGTGGTGGGACAGGAGGGATCCATTCGCAAAGGTATTACGAACATTATCTGATTTATGATTGAAATTTCAGGGAAATACATTTAATGACCTGTAATTACTACTGATTACTCTTATTTGTTATGCTTTGTTAGTGTTGTGTAGATCAGAGAGATTACTGCAGTCTGTCTTCACGGATCAGTCTTTCTATAGAGAAGAGCACAGAGAAAATGATGGATGAGCGCTTCATACTCGTCTTTCATTATGAAGGTTAATCATCCAGCGGAAAAACTCTGCTGCGGATGTAGTTCATTGCTCTGCAGATTTGTTTCCCTCTCAATAAAAACACAAACATTAGCAGATCAGCGATGAAAATGTATTACATGTTGGAGCAGATTTACAAAAACATATTTTCACAAAAGTATTCCTATCCGCTCATTATTGGCAGCTTGCCAAGTTACAGTTAAAAACTAGACAAACACAAATTATAGCATAAATAAAAATCTGAAAAGGGTGTGATTAGCCCGTTTTAATCTGATATCTTTAACTCAAATATTGTGCAACCGTCTAGATGAATCTAGCTAATTAGTAGATGGTCCAGCTTTATGGACTTTATTCCAAGTACAAATGTTATGTGAATAAATCAGAGGTTTGTTAGTAATAAAGCGATAGAGCTAACATTTCATGGAAAAAGTTTTTAAGAAATTTAAAGGAGTGTTAAGATAAAGAAACAAACATTTTATCATTTCATGAGGCATTTTTCCAACTATCATCTCAGAATGGAAAGAATATGGTGCACCTGAAAACCACAGAGAGATGGATGTCCACCTAAACTCATAGGTCAGGCAAAACAGTGTAAATCACAGAGGCAGACAAAAGACCCACAATAACTGTGAAGGAGCTGCGAAGATCCACAACTGGGGTTGGAGAATCTGCTGAAAGGAAAACTGTGGATTGATTTTTATTATGAATTAATAAGAAGGGAAACATATTTGAAATCTTTGTTTATAAATCTGCTACAAATGTTCCAATCCTATGTTGATATCGGAGATCTATAAAAGCTAAAAAAATATATTTAAAATCTCTGATTCAAGCAAGCCGATAAAAACCCTCTGCTTCTATCTGCCTCTGTTTGACATTCATGTAAGTCATTGGTTGATAAAAGATGCCTTAGTTGTGTTCATGCCGACTATAGTTGGTTATTGTTCTCTGTTTGGGAAATATGACTTCATCAAACCTTGGCTAACATGCTACTGTACAGAAAGAGTAATAATAATAGTATGTCTGATTAATGCTGATGTCGTATCAGGTCATTACTTAAAGCTGTAACATCAGTATCTCATCTGAAAAAGTTGTATTGGGACATCCCTATAATCCGCATTCCTTTGGTTTCTTTGTAGCTGGAGAAGAGAGTAAAGACACTCAATTGCAATATATTGATGTAGACGTGGTTCTGTTTAAGGGTTTTAATAAAAGAACAAGAAAGCAAACAAGATATTTAAGAACTTAATATTGACGGATTTTCAAAGGCTTGGATTGGCTATAATACAGGTGCAATGCTTAACAAAGAAAAATAGACTATTTACACACAAAAAAAGCAGTTATCTCCTACAACACAGACTGCATTAATCAATCAGATGGCAGCAACACAATGTCATTACAAGTACCATAACATTTTTATTTCCCTTAAATAAAAAATAAAAAGACACATTAACAAACGCCGTTACATTTTAAAGTCGGTACTCCCTGCACTGCCTTTATGGAAAAGGGGAAAGAAAATGGCCAGTGTTGAAAGAAATTAGACTTGTTGGCAGTTTCCCACAAGTAAAATAAGAACCTGGCACATCTCATCTCTCTAGTCAGAATAGCAATTCATCAAAAACCATGCAGAGTCAATATTTTGCAACATCCATGTGTTGAAAAAACACTAAACTGCATCCTCATCACCATGAACATTGTGCTCACGGTAAATCATGGTGATAGCAGTATCAACTGTAGAGATTCTCTTTTCTAAACACCTTTAAAGACTACATATCTATCTAAACATTCTAATTTTCCAATTATTTACAAGATAAAAGTCAGAAAAGACATTGTTTTTGGTTGCAATGTGACAAAAACATCGAAATCTTTAAGCGCTTTGAATGGAAAAGCTGATGCACTTTGAATGCTGATTCCAGCAACCCAACCTGTTAGAGCCCATTCCCCGGCCACTTATCCCCAGCTGAAGCTTCTTTTATGAGAGGAGGGACAGAAATATTGTGATGGGGCATAACACTAATATGAATACCTCATAAAATTAGCAATAAGTCTTTTGCCTTGTGTACGGTTCAAGGTGCACATTACTGTATTCGTCGGGGACACAGCAGCAGCAGCTGTCTCTGTGTGATTGTGACTGTGCATTCATTTGCGTTTTCTCGCAGGGCAAATGTGTCTTTTGTGTTGCTTACTAGCAAGCTGGCTTGTGCTGTCCAGCTTTGCATCACTTTCATCATTAGCAGGCTTCAAAAACCCAGCTGGCCTTTGGTTTCACTCTCTTTGTAATCCAGCTGCAAGTATGGTGAATATTAAGCAGGGAGAAGAGCTGCGCAGGTTCTATGATGTCTTTCCAAAGAAGATATCAGGGCACTAATCCTGTAGTGACGATAAGCTCTGCTGTCACCTCTTTCCCACCAATAGGTGACATTTTGCTGAACGTGAACGGCATGGAGTTGACAGGGGTGACACGAGGTGAGGCCGTGGCCAACTTGAAGAACACCTCGTCTCCTGTCGTGCTCAAGGTCTTGGAGATGCGTCCACCAGAGGACAGCATGCAGGAGTGCACATTGCCGCCTTGTCTCACGCCGTCCCCAACAGAGAGCACCAAGAGCCCACTACCTAATGACGATTACTCCCCACTGTGGGTCTCGTGGCTGCAGCTTCCCAGGTAAGCACCCTGCTGTGACCTTAGTCTTCACTATAGATATTTTTACGGACAGTTCACGCAGCTTGAACAGGTCTATTTTTTAACCTCTGCCAGCTGGTGAACACTGACGTTTTGACAGAAGCAGTAGGAAAGAAACTATCATTATTATTTTTTTTTTTATATTCAATACTAATAAATCATTAAACCTGCAAGGACTAAAGGCTTTTATTAATAATATATAAAAGCCTTTTACGTTGTCATGGTAACAGCCTTGCTCTGGCACTAATAAACAGCCACTCTCCTTGCTTATACAAAACTAAAAAGCAATTTTGATGTGTTTTCCCTTTAACAAGCTCATTAGAATGTGGTAACAAGTACTAAATGTTATAAATAAAGCAATGTATCCTTTCACTTATCGATTTATGTACTACTTTAGTTTGGCTTATCGCATAAAATCCCAATAAAAAATTTGTTGTGTTAATGTGGCAAATTGTAAATATTTCAAGGCTATGACTTTTTTTTTTCCATTAAGCTGTGAACCACTGAAGTTGGAAGGTTGGCTTTATTAGCTTTTCTGCTGCATACATACTCTAGAAAGATGTACTGTTTGTAATTGAAAGGTTCAACTAAGAGATTAGTGTGCTTAATCTTCTTCTTGGCTCCTGCAGACATCTCTACTGCTGCAAAGACATCGTCCTGCGGCGGAATACATCGGGCAGTCTGGGCTTCAGCATTGTGGGAGGTCAGGAGGAGGTCAACTGCAATCAATCTTTTTTTATCCGCTCCATCGTGGAGGGAACACCAGCCTACAATGATGGCAGGATAAGGTATATTTAAATACTGCAGCCCATTAAAAAAATATTTCAGATTCTCTTCGATGTGACAAATTCATTAAGAAAGGTTTGTTATGTCTGTCTTTGAAGATGTGGGGACATCTTGCTTGAGGTGAACGGGAAGAGCACATGGGGGATGACGCACACAGCTCTAGTTCGTCTTCTGAAGGAGCTCCGGGGCAGAATCACTCTGACCATCGTGTCTTGGCCTGGCAGTCTGCTGTAACGGTGCTCTAAGCCATCCAGCACCGCTTTATCGGCACTGACAAGGAATGTGGAAGGCAGAACTGTAGACTGGCCGACCACCCTAAGCTCACTGTGTGGGAGAGGAGCTCATGACTGTGCTGTGGCTGTGTGGATACCTCACTGCAGATGGGCTGCAGGACTTTGCCAGGACTTTGCAGGGGTACAGATAAGAGACTGGACTGTTACCAGAAGGTTGACTTGCCCCTACGGAAATTCTAAACTGGCTGAACATTTAAAGGACATTGTCTGCACCTTGAACAGTATCCAGTGAGTGGGGTGGAAGGACTGAATGGAGACAAGACTTGTTGCCAATTTCAATAGATACATATTAGGATATGCGTTAAGCTGGACTCACATTTCTTTACGTAATGTTGGGTGTCTATAAAAAAACCTACTGAACCAAGCACTTGTAATATGTTTCTTCTGTTTGTCGTACGGCCTTTAAACGTAGGCTTTATTATGTTTGTACTGACAGTGGTTGTCATCTTCATCCATTGAGCTGAAGACACGTTGCCAAGTAGTAGTCTGTGAGGTTTTTTTCTGTTGTCTCAGAAGCTATGGCTAAGTTATTGAAAACCACTGACAAAGAAAATGTATGAAAAAAATAAAGGATCAATGTGTTCATAACATGTAAACAAATAACATTTAAATAGGAACATTTGTGGAGGCCTTACTAATTTTCTTACTTTCAAGAAAAAAATTGAGTAGGTTTCTGTGTAACAGTGGATGGCCTGAGGTCTCTTTACTGTGGTTCTGTCTGTCACGCTTCGGCCTGTGTAGTATATCTGATGGTAAAAGGCTCAATAAAAATCATTTGGCAAAAAGAGTTCAGACTTTTCGATTTCACATGGATTAAAACAGCTACAACCAGAAAATTAACAATAAGCAGAGAACTTTGAGGATTATAAAGAGAAAAAAAATCAATTTTACAATCTAAAACCTTTAGAGATAATTCTTTTCAAGCAGATTTGTTATTCATATGCTCATTGAAATATTCATTTCTTTTCTTAGATAGTAGAGTTGCTTTCCAAGGCCTTTCAACATATTTGGCCTTTGCTTTATAGTATCTTGTCTTCCTTTCCTCGCTGTCATTTTTCCCACTTATGTCCCTATGCCTGCTGATACTAAAAGTAAAGAGATAATTCAATGATAGATCTTTTTTTTTTATCATTTCATCTTTACTCTTTGGGAATATGTGAGTTTTAATCCTTGATGTTTCTTTGGGCTCTCTCCTTTTCATCTCTCTGCTTCTTTTTACCAGTGACTCCCCCAATTCTGCGACGTCTCTTCACATGTTCAGTGCGCTCCACTGGCTTCCTTCCTCTCCCTAAAACGAAAAATACAGTTAAATATCATATGGTGCTGTAAAAAAGTATTGACATTCTTACAGATTTCTTCCAGTTTTACTTTTATTGTTTCCAGTATCTCATATCATCAAACAAATATTATAAGGGAAAGTTAGCATGAATAAAAAAAAAATTCATAAAGTGAAAAAAAGGCAAAATAAGGTGACACATGCAAAAAAAGGAACCTCCACCAAAACCTTACAGCTGTTTTGCTTTGTTTGGCAGCAACAACTGCCTTAAGGCACTGGAGGATTCATTCTGGCCCCCTCATCTTGGATTGCTGGTGGGATTTTTTTTTCTCTAAAATTAAAGCATTTTGTTGCAGGACAGCCGTGTGTTTCCAATGTTGTGTCAAAAATCTAAACAAACCTACAAAGTCCCTGTTGTGGGAATTTAACTAAAGTTCTAGGCTAACATCACCATGTTAACTATGATTTGTGGTTCAGCAACAACACTGACCCAAAATGATTCAAATTAATTCTATCTGACAAAACATGCAGAAATAATTGTGCACATATGTCTTATAGAGGCAGACAGTAGACACCACTACAGCCTCTCTCTCTGACATCTAGGCTATTAGGGAAAGTCCAGATTCCTTGGGTTGAGCAATTGAAACAATATATATATATAAATATTAAACTTGTGAACTCTAAGAAAACATTGGACCAATTTCTAAATAAAGAGTTCATTACCTAAAGTGATACTGTAGATATTTCCTAACCAATAAATATTGAAGCGTAGAACAGCCAGAGACTCTGACATCAAACCTAAAAAACTGTCTCAGCCCATACCTTAAACTGGATCTATAGATCCAAAAAAGTAATAGGCTCATAAACATTCAAGTCAAATCAAACATAACTCATACCATGTAGTAAAATTAAAGGAAAGATGTTGTTTTAAAAGACCATCTGGTTTAACCATTAAAAACAACAATTGTTAAGCATACAGCAGGTTTCGAGTGGAGGGGAACTCAAACAAATCGTATTTTATTTGTTAAACCACTGTTTTAATCTGCACTAAGATTTATGCAGTTTTGTGTTAGTGTTTAGAAGAACAGTAAAACGCGTATGTTGTGTGGGTTATATCGATATCCCATAGTTTGAGGCAGCCAAAGAGCATTAGTACAGCATGAGGCCCAGAGAAGACTGTTAGGTTAGGACTTTTAAAACAATGTTATTTGAATTAAATAAGTGACGTGTCTGTTATTGTTAAAGATATAAACACAGTCTTCATTGAGATGAAAAAAACTTCTTTAGATAAGTAAACACCTGACAGAAAAAAAATAAAATAAAATTCCAGCACCTTCACGCTCTTGGTTTAAAAGCTGATAAAATCTTACTGAATGTATTACCTAAGAAAAAGTATAGATGAAGAACTTTCAGATGACATTCAGCTTTTGTTTTCATGCAAATGAGTTTCTTTTCAGTAGGTAGAGTGAACAGATGCAGCTAATGCTGTTCAAATGACAGTCTTTGTTTACTACTGTGTGGGTGAAGGGTAAAAAAATAAACTCAAATGTCATGACAGCTCTCGACAAATGAGAGTTCTGTCATGACAATTATCAGAGAGCCAGACCTTCAGTTGTTTGTGAGCACAGCTGTGAGTTCTCTACTGGGAAAATAAAAGCAAGCAGTTGCAGCTCACCAACAAAAATGATAAGTTCCCACAGTCTGGGATTTAAATAATAAGAATAAGAAAAAAATTCGGTAATTATAAGATCTCACACCAATACTTATTGGTTACAAATTGTAACCAAAATGAGAGCTTAACAAAAACATCAGAAAATCTGCCTCAGAATTCTGATTGGTGCAACTTCAAATATTATATAACAGTACAGGTTAAGACAACTTTCCCAAAACAAGTCAAATGAAACAATTAAAGTCTTAAAAACAGGCAGCATAGTTTTGGATTTACAGTCAACTTAACCTTTAGGAATGGACTCAATTATAAAGGCAAACATCAGCGTATAACTGTGGACAGAAAATGGTTAAATGACTGAATGAAGTTTAAACCGCTTTGGGGTCCTCAGACTTGCTAAAGAGCTTAACAAGCTATTCATTTAATACAAAGAGATAGAGAGAAATTAGATTTAAATCCTCAGTGCATTGTTAAACATGCCTTATTTAGAGTTTTCTGTAATCAGCATAAATCCAGAGCCAAGACTTAAATCTGTCTCTGAGTCATCACTAGTAACATAGAAACAAGCACCATAAATTAAACTGTAAAAATCAGTGAAATGGCTGCAAGGGTCCATAGGCGAACTTTATTTGTATTGCTTTGTTAAACAAAACAAAACAAAAAAAATTTAAATTAAGCTGAGCATACTGTATTTTAAATTTATCCATCCCTTATGCTGGTGAAGATCCTCAGTCATCCGGGTGACAGTCATTCTAAAAAAGTTTAAAAAAAACAATCTTGGTTTCCAAGTTTGAAGACTTTTCCCTTGATACTTGTCTTGTTTTTACTTTATTGAAATCCATCCTTTTACCCATTTACCCATAATCCAATTGGTGGTTGGTAATTGCCACATTTAAAAATAACATTTAAATCTAACAATAACTAGAAAAAAGCAACTGAAACTGAAGCAACAGCATAAACATGTGGTGCATTTTGATTGATTATATGTTTAAATTTAACTCACATAGTGGTAGAGTTTGTGGTGTAATAACCCCTTTTTTTTCAGTAATCTCAACTAAATGGTTTGTTGGTCAGCCTTAAGTTCTAATTTAATAATAGTCAATCATCATTATGTTTCTCATTGTAAGTTTGTACATTGCTACATAATTTGACCTAACTTAATTTTGCATTTTATTATTTAATGTTTGTTGTGTAAAACTTTTTTTAAGCTTTGGTCGATTTGTTTGATAACTCAACATTTTGAAACAGTTCAAGCATCAATGTATCTGTTTAAGAACAATTTTGAAAACAAAAGAGGTTTCCTTAAAGTGATCAGAAGAAAACAAAGATTCAAATCAGTTCCAGGCCTTAAGTCTGCTTGGGGTGGGTTACAATAAGTAATTCCAGTAGTAATGATGTGTGTGCATAAGAAATACCTCCAGGGCATGAACTTAAATAGAAACTACATCAATAGGAACATAAAACAAATGATCACATTCAGCCATTTGAGATCAGTAAAAAGAATTACAATCAAAGCATGCAAAACTTAGAGGTCATATGAATACACTTAAAATGTACATAAATCATTTAAATTTGCCGAGAATATGACAGGCAGAAAGTGTGAAAAACTGGAATCTACAGTCACTTAAAGAGATATTGGAGAATATGGCTAAAATAGGCAAGCGCAATAAGGAGAGAGGCGTGAATGAAAATTCTAATGGACCAGCGAGGGCTCAATGCCTGGAGATGGAGTCTCCAGGGTATGATGAAAAATAAATTGCTGGATAATATCACTAAATTGTTTAGCCTTATTGATGTATGGAGAGAAAATAAAATGGATCACACATTTTATTCTACTTCCCATTATAATCATTCAATATATTTCAACAACATATGCACAAAGTACCACACTGCTGTATAGACAAAAATGGATGAGATGGATGGAAATAAATGTTTCAGTTCAATCCAAAGAAGAATAGTAAAATAAATATAAGAGAAAAATCAATAATAATGGTGAAATATCACCAGGAAATATATTATTAATATTTTCTAGACTGAAAGGCTTCTAGAGAAAGAGATTAGAGAATTCATTATGCAACATTCAACAAAAGCAGATAAGACTATTCTGACTACGTTAAAAAATAGTGACAGATAAAGAGGATGAGATTTTAATAGTGGAAGTTGAAGGATTTCTTACAAAATGGGAAAACAGGGCCAGCTGTTTATTGGCATTTTATCATAGAAAGTCCAATATAACACATGCTTATCTAAAAAATACAGCACACAGTGGGTATGTAAATGATGGCATTGGCATGCCGTAGAGACATAGCGGAAGCATTTGCAGATTACTAGGAAACATGTATGATGATTCTGAAATAGAACTTCATGAATGTGATATGGAATCTTAAAGAAAAAAAGACTGATCATCCATATTTTTCAAAAGAAGAGGCATGAATAATGGCCAGCCTATATCTACATAGAAGTAATAGACTTGGTCAAAACCTTTAAAAATAACAAAATAACAATGAACTGATTCTGTTCATAACTTTTATGGACAGAATTTCTAGGCCCAGCCAAGGTGTTGAGGGGGATGTGTTTCAGTGGCCTTGGGATAATGTCTCTGTTATTTGCAGATGATGTGGTTCTATTGGCTTTATCAGAGTCTGATCTACAGCTCTCACTGGAGTTCGCAGTCCAGGATGAGGATCAGTGCCTCCAAATCCAAGACCATGTTTCTTGACCCGGAAAAGGGTAGAGTGGATTCTCCAGGTTGGGGAGGATGTACTGCCCCTAGTGGAGTTTAAGTATCTTGGGGTCTTGTTCACAAATGAGGGGAAGATAGAGTGGGAGATTGGTATTGAACATTTGTTTTTTGTGAGATCTTGCTAAATAATGGTCTGAAGTTGCTACATCACTTTCACATGATAAAGAAAACAATCAACTGCTGCAGACCAGCAAGCCCAGTCTTCAATCATTTAAAAAATAAATGAATAAAACAGGTATAATGGCAAAAAGAAGGGAAAAACATATAATTAAATTAATCTAACTGATCAAACTGGCTTTATTCCGGCAAGAAAAAAAACAATATAAGAAGAATGCTAAACCTACAGTAGTTGCCATTCAAAATTTCCCCACTTTCCTTGATGGCCCTTTTGGCGGGTCACTGGCTGGTCCTCTACAATTCCTTTTTAAACATCAATATTTGTACTAAAATAATTTTTTCTGTCATGATTTGTGGACATCAACACCTAAAGAGAAGTGTCATCTCCTGGTCAGAGCCTGTAATTCAGTGAAAGGGTGGAGTAAAAAAATATGTAAGGGGGGGGGTTACTCCAGTGGCTGGAAGTTGGAGGGGATTTTACTG